ATTAACTGAATAGGTAATTCTGTGGGAAGAGGGATCTTGTAGTTGCTGTTAACTGAATAGGTAATTCTATGGGAAGATGGATCTTGTAGTTGCTGTTAACTGAATAGGTAATTCTGTGGGAAGAGGGATCTTGTAGTTGCTGTTAACTGAATAGGTAATTCTATGGGAAGATGGATCTTATAGTTTCTGTTAACTGAATAGGTAATTCTGTGTGAAGATGGATCTTGTAGTTGCTGTTAACTGAATAGGTAATTCTGTGGGAAGAGGGATCTTGTAGTTGCTGTCAACTGAATAGGTAATTCTGTGGGAAGATGGATCTTGTAGTTGCTGTTAACTGAATAGGTAATTCTATGGGAAGAGGGATCTTGTAGTTGCTGTTAACTGAATAGGTAATTCTATGGGAAGAGGGATCTTGTAGTTGCTATTAACTGAACATGGAATTGTTCCTGAAGAATAGAGATTATCAAATGTTTGCTGTTAATAGAATAGGGATTACCAAAATTTATTTTTATCATTGTTTCATTTCTTTATTATGATAAAAAATATTATATATGTAGAAGTTTTCTTGTCAAAAGTGACATTTAAAAAACAAAGTATTAACACGTGTAAACATGCAAGCTCATATTAAAAAGTTCACTTGTTTGTTATATTTTGTTATAATTGTACGTTATAATATTCCGATACAATACATTACCTCTACTCACATAAATAGCTAGTCTCGTTTAGTGCTGCCCTCTATATCCAAAAGTATTTTTAATGCAAGCCACAAGCCTTTTACCTCCCTTCCATTGGAATTGACTGATTCCAATGCGTCTTTTATGCAGATCATCATGTGTTAACATTCCACCAATAAGAGTGCGACATACTCTCATGATGCATATGACTCCCTCTATTCAATTCCTCTGAACTATTACTTCTCGTTTGGCAGTACTTGTGTTCAGACGTTTTTTCTTTAGGATTGTAGTTGACTTGTCACCAGTATGATCCTCTTTCCTATCGCCACATGGATGTTGGTACACAGGAGTTTTGGATTGTAGTTGACTTACCGATGGTACGATCCTCATCCTATCCATGTGTGGATGTCGGTTCCTCGCAGCATGAGTTTTGGATATAGTTGACTTGTCACCGGTATGATCCTCTTTCCTATCGCCACGTGGATGTTGGTACACAGGAGTTTTGGATTGTAGTTGACTTACCGATGGTACGATCCTCATCCTATCCACGTGTGGATGTCGGTTCCTCGCACCATGGGTTTTGGATATAGTTGACTTGCCACTGGTATGATCCTCTTTCCTATCGCCACGTGGATGTTGGTACACAGGAGTTTTGGATTGTAGTTGACTTACCGATGGTATGATCCTCATCCTATCCACGTGTGGATGTCGGTTCCTCGCACCATGGGTTTTGGATATAGTTGACTTGCCACCGGTATGATCTTCTTTCCTATCGCCACGTGGATGTTGGTACACAGGAGTTTTGGATTGTAGTTGACTTACCGATGGTATGATCCTCATCCTGTCCACGTGTGGATGTCGGTTCCTCGCAGCATGGGTTTTGGATATAGTTGACTTGCCGTGTACGGTCCGTTGCGACCTAGCCACTTTACACCTACAACACATCTTTTTAATGTTACACACTTTTAAAATTTCTGGGATAGAGTTGCATAAATGTTATATGGTTCACATCACTATCCAACTTTAGTTCTCTCTCACTTGGATGTACTCCTACATTTTTTGCTCATATGTGTGACATCTTTCTACAATGAGTGAAAAGTATCCCTGGTTCAGAAGTGATGTACTACTCCACATCAGATCTTAATATCTGACTGTCTCCTCTTAGGGAGTGTCCTTCAGATGCTTTTTCCTTTCCCTTGCACCAGACCCTCCACCTATTCAATGTGGAATTCTAGCTATTTGTGTGAGCATAGGTAATGTACCATATCAGAAGTTATGATTTTCCTATACTGAAAATGTATTTCTGATAGGTACTTACCTCCCCCTCTCACTACCAACCCTTCCTCACCACTGAAAACTAGTGCTTCCATCTTCTGCCAAAACTCGAAGTGATAGTTCGGTAGAATTGAATAGAGGGAGTCACTTGTCATGAGAGTAAGTTGCACTCTTATTGGTGGAGAGTTGACACATGATGATTTGCATGAGAGACACATTGTAATCAGTCAATTCTAATGGAGGGGAAATGAAAGGCTTGTGACATGTGTAAAAAATGTTTTTGCATATAGAGGGCAGCACTGAACGAGAATAACTATTTATGTGAGGGGAGGTAAGTACCTATCAGAAATACATTTTCAGTATAGGAAATTTATAACTTTAACCAAGAACTATTGTATTTCATACAGAGGAAGGTGAAATTGAAATTATCACACTGGAACCAGAAACTCGTAACAAGAACAAAACTCAGGTTAGTGAACCTGAACATGGTTCAAATGTTCATTCTCATCATAATTCATACTTTTGTTTTAACTAACCGAAAATATCTCTGTAGGACAATTATCACATTGTTTTGATATGAAAACTGAACATTTCAAAGAATTGTAAGCTTAATTTGAAATTACAGAATTGAGGAAAACAAAGACAGTTGTATGTTTCACAAATATTACAACCACGGTTTCACCAGTAAAGGCATCACTGAACTAGCTTGTAAACATGTATGAATATGTTAAACCAATGAACTGGAAGTCACTTAATTTGAAATGAATTATATATGTTAAACTGACTGACAATTATTAAAATCTCTTTTTCATGAGCTGCAGAGAAATAAAGTCTGTCTTTCTACTTATTTATTTTCATTATTGTTATCAAACAAAAGACTGCTAACTGATGCTAAAGACTACTAACTGAAGCTTCAGGCTGCTAACTGAAGCTAAAGACTACTAACTGAAGCTTCAGGCTGCTAACTGATGCTAAAGACTACTAACTGAAGCTTCAGGCTGCTAACTGATGCTAAAGACTACTAACTGAAGCTTCAGGCTGCTAACTGATGCTAAAGACTACTAACTGAAGCTAAAGACTACTAACTGAAGCTTCAGGCTGCTAACTGATACTAAAGACTACTAACTGAAGCTTCAGGCTGCTAACTGATGCTAAAGACTACTAACTGAAGCTTCAGGCTGCTAACTGATGCTAAAGGCTAC